AGCCCTGCACATCAGAAAATAATGACACTAATATTAAAAAAAAATTCAAAAGGAGGCCATGGAAGAAAAGACTGAGTAAATACAGAGTGAGATTTCAAAAAGGCACTGAATTGGAAAGTTGTTGTCTGAAGATCATCCCCGTGCCACTGAAGGGATTAAGTAGTAACACAGCCACAGAGGAGTGAAAGACTATCTGCCACAATCTAACTAACAATATCTTATTATACAAGACACTGCACACCAGAATTCTTCTTATCTAATTAAGGACACTTGAAGTAATTTAAGTAAACAAAATTCCTCAAGGAATTTCCTTCTTTTGAACTAACTTCCTGAATTTCACCTTCTCTTTCTTTCCATTTAATACCAAGTTAAGCCTTTACAGCAAGAAACTTTCTTACTTGCCTTGAACTTTCAAGTAATTAGAAGAAAGCAGACTACCCTTCTCACTCAGTACCCCAAGGCTCTATTCCAGTGGCAATAACCTGACAGAAATATGCAGAAATAAAACTACTTGTTCATGAAACAGCAAAAATAGCAATGGGTAAAGAGCTGAAAGCTAGGGATTACCTGACCAAGAGTATCTGTATACAAATGGCAACTCAGAAGACTCTGAGCAAAACCAGAGCTGAATGGATGCTGTCTTTCTGAAGGGCCTCTTTCCAACGAGTCACATGCAGATCAACACTGTTTCTCATCTCCCCAGAACACAACTCAAATGCAAAAATGCTAAAACTGCAATTCCAAACAGACAAACTTTTTGTGCCAAAAGCCCTATAAAAGTTTCACCACTATTCCTTCTGTAGGGAAAGAGTCAGGAGCTCATAATGGATGCAATAGCAGTGTTAGTGACATTGTAACTGTAAAAGAAGACCAAGGAAGATGTCTTTTTGTTCTAATTGATCTCTGTTCCTCATCAGAGAAGTGCAAAATAGTTCATTATTCCAGCTCAGATTCTGCTTGAAGCATAAGTAATTATGACACCACATAGGCCGCTGACTGAAGAGTCCAAGAGGCTGGATACTGCTGCAAAGCTGCTTTTCCAACACCCTTCTCAAAATAAGTGCATCTTAACAAGAACTTTAGTGAGCTACTCTAACACACACACGCACACATTAAGAAAAAGGAGATACAAACACTAAGAATTTAAAGAGGCAAAAGGAACATCAAATTGTATGTGCAACAAGCCTGAAAGTAGTACGAATAAAGAAACCCACAAAGGAGCTACTCTGCAAAAAAGAAAACCGCACACTCAAAACCTTTTTTCAGCCAACAAAATAAGTGAGAGTAGTAAGAATCACCTGTACTGTCCTTGACAACTGCTCTTTCAAGATGTACCTTTACTAGCTATAAAGGTATGTCAGGAAGAACTGGTTACTTCCAAGATACATTGACACAATCTTCTATATCACAAAACATGACAGAGTGGATGCCCCTGTATTCACATTCTGGGTTTACTTCCTGTTTTAACAGTCCAAAATGCTAAGTAACCAATTAAGTTGTCCTACTTAAAAATGACCTGTTACAATAACAATCTTATTATTGTAGATGGCTTGAGAAATAGAATCCCTGTCAGCTATGTTACATGAATGATTTGTTGTTAGCACTGGAAATGTTTAGATAAATATTCTCTCAAAATCAAATCTATGCTATTCTGTTGCATCTTCAAAACCATCTTTGATGCATAACAGCATCTGCATAATGCCTTTTAAAACCTAAAGTTACTTCCTAGGCTAGGACTCTGAAGCATCACATAAATGCATGAAAAGATTGCTGCATACCTTTGTTTTCCTTTCTCATCCATATTTTGATCTTGTATAAGGTCTCGACGTGTTCGCTCTTTGGAGGTAGCAACAACAGAAGATGGTAATGCTGGCTACAACAGAAAAATACAAACTTCTTAGTTCACGTAAATGTCTTCCTTTTTCCTACACAGCTCCCTTTGTCGTGCATTACCTTTTTTATATCATCATCCTCTCCGTCACTTTCTTGGCGTGATTCTCTTCTCGTCCGACGCTCTCCACCCAGCCTGAGGAATAAAAAGCTTTACTGGCCACTGGAGAACATTTGTTAACAACAGCATCTATACATGTCAACATATATAGTCAGCAGAACTGACAATTCCACTAAAACTGTTTATCAGAACAGTGGCAAGAGATAAATAGTGCTTTTAAAGACATCACTGTCTAAAAAAATATTGTAGGAAAAACTGTTCAAAAAAATTTTAAAGTAGCAGGTGAGAAATGTGATTTACATTTCAGTGTAACTTCAGTAGTAAAGTAAAAATGAAGAACCCATGTTACTGCCCTATTTGACTTTCTAGCACAGTTTTGGATTTTGTTTCCTGTTTGGGCTTTTTTTTTCCAGAATATCGAAAATGTTTACTTATGTAAGAGAAACATGAGGTAGATTTAAATACATCATGACACAGAGGGCAGTACGATTTTCTCAAATTCCAAATGCTATTGAGGTTATCTAGGCAAATACCTAGAAAACAGTTAAGGACAGACAAAGCATTTAGCTGGGACCTGAGCCCTTTGCTAAAAAAACTCAGGTTATCCAAGAAAGCCAGGCAATGTATTAAGTGAAAGTTATTTTAGCTTCTGATCTCAGCTTTGTGGCATAGCAGTTTACTATCAGTAGAGCATTTCACAGTATTCATTTTGTAGAACTCAAAAATTCAAAAGCAAGATTTGCTTTTGTCAAGATTTAGCACTGCATGTAAGTGCTCAGAAAATGCAGCTCACTATAACCAAAGCCACATCTGATGGATCTGCATCCAGTAGTGAAAGCCTGAAATCTCTGTATATACTGTCACACAGTAGGCATTAAGTTTAATGAAAGGGAAATCCCAGTCACAATTTGTGTCTACTGTTATACAAGTCTGGGTTAATATGCAAAACTTAATACAGCAGACTGCAATGAGTTTTCTGCTTTACTTAGCGTAAGTTTTTAAATCAAGATTTTAGAATTTGGCATCTAACACTGTAACTATATTCAGAAAACTGACCAACTCACTATAGCCTGCAACAAAAATGCCCAGAAAGTTAAAGGAGGAGTTATGTGCAGAATGGACAAGGAACAAGAAATACCCTTCCACTGCACTGGAACAAGTACAGAAATGAGAAGTGCTCTTCATTATAGTGAGTGTAATATTTCAACACCTTTGAGTTTTCTACCCATCATAAATATACAAAGTTATTTAATTCCCTATACAGTTCTCTCCACAGTGATTCCAGAGGCCACATGAGCCCTTGAATCCAGCAGAGAAAGAATTATACATTTAAGCTTCTCCATCATGCAAGAATCTTAGTATTGATTTTATCTTTGTATTATTGCTATAGTCTTCAAATTAATAATTTTTAAACTACTATAGGATTTAGAGAAGAGATTCCAACGCAATCAACTCCAAGAACATTTCTCACAAGTCATCAATAAATCTCTGAAGACGACAGAGAAAGTCATCATTTACTAAATGATTACATCTAAGTATTTGGAATGTAGTGTTATAAACTCTCATTCTGAAAAAGCAAGGTTTCTACATGCATTTTTCCACCCACCTACTGGATGCCCCTTCAAGATCCCTCTGTTTGGCTGGGGGTCCTCCTCCGCTATCCGAGAATCCACGCCTAAAAGGAAACCACTTGTGATCTCAGAGCAAGGCATACATTTTACTCAATTCTGTAATCATTTGACTGCTACTACAATAATAGAGTATTTAAATGCACTGTTTGTGAATCAACCCATTTAAACTCATTCAGACGAGTTGCTACCCTCAAACGAGCTACCTCATTAGGTTCAAAAAAGTTTTTTGCAGAAGTTTTTAAAGTGCTAGGGGCTCAGCAACAATTTGATGTTGAAATTTAACAAAAGAAAATAAATGTACTATGTACTCAGATAAGATGGAATCACTGAGCACAAATCTGTCCTTGATTCTGGCTCTCCCACATAGATGGGAAATAAAAGAGGGTAGAAAAGGTACATTCACAAAGGAAGTCGCCTACGTGGGTTTTGGGAATCCTAGACAGTTCCATTCTTTCTATTCTCCCTAGAAATGCTACCAGCTTCTTAATCACCAAGACAGTGATTTTGCACCACTTCAAAGCAAGGAGGCCCAGCGCACCAGAGAGCGCCTCCCTTCATTCTGAAGGTCCTTCACTTTAAGTCTAATGGCTGGAAGCGCTAAGGAAGGCCACCCGTATCAAACCGGGCACCGCAGCTATCGAACCCCGGCTGCCCTTGCAGGCCTCCCACTCGACCGCGTTATTACAGCAGCAGCTCCCGATCCCTTACAGCGAGCACAGGGATCAACCCCAGAACGCAGAACGCGCGAAGACATCAACCCGGCGCCACGAGAGAAAAGCAGAGCCGCGGCTCCTTACCTCAGCAGTAAGCTCCCTCGCCCCCTACCTCCACCAGGGCCTGAGAGGGCCAGCAGTCTGTTCTGAGGGGGCCTGCGGAAGACAGCACAGCGCTCAGCGGCACCGCCCGGGCCCCTCGCAGTGTTCCCGCGGCGCTGCCTCAGGCGCGGGGCCCGCAGCCATCGCTGCCCCCCCACCCCGCGGGGACGCCGCCGACCGGCCCCGGGCCGCGCCGGAGGCGTGGGGGCGGCCTCCTCGAGACGACAAGCCAAGCCGCCCCTCACCTCACATCGTTGGGGTCCCGGCCCGTGAGCTTGCGGATATTCTCATCCACGTGCTTGAGGCTCTCCTTGGCCTTCTCCAGCTGCTCCTGCAGCGCACGCACCGCCACCGCCATACCGCCCGCCGCGCGGCCTAGCCGGGGCCCAGCGCAAGGCACCGCTGGGTAACGGCGGGAGAGGCTCCGCCCGACGGCCACCGCTCGGCTCCGCGAGGCGCTGGACGGCGCAGCCAATAGCCCCTCGGCGGACGCCGCCGACTGCCAATAGGCGGGCTTGAAACGAAAGGGTACGCCCTCCTGGAACGGCTCTCCGCACTCACCCGCCAATCACGAAGCCCAGAGACAGACTGACATCCTTCTTAACCAATTACCGAGAGCGGCCGCTTGCCAGCTCTGCGAATCATAAAGCGGGAGAGCCAGAGCGACGTCTCTTTTAGCTAAAGAAAAGTTACTTCGTCACTTTCCTGTGGTGGGAGCCAATCACCTTCACGCTACCGCAGCCTCTGTGCCGGACGAGCCAATTAGGCGGGGCGTTACTGCGGGCTGCCGCGTTGTACGCTCCCGCGCGGCGCAACGTGAGCTTCTGTAGCGGGTTATCGCGGGGAGCGGCGTGGGATGGGCGCCGGGGGCTCTGGGCTGTAGTTCTCCCCCCGCTGCCCGGCGGGACGCTGCTCTAACGGAACGCGGGTGCCGTTTTTGCTGGGGCGCCTCCGGCCGCGCCCCGCCAGTTGCCATCTTACAGAGGCAGGAAATGGAGGATGAGTAGAAAGGGACGTTTTGAAGGCGATTAAAAAATGATTTAAAAAAAGCACAAAAGCGCTCTTTCCTCTCACACACGTGCCAGCTTCGCCCCTTGCTCGGCTCTCCGCCTCGCCTCGCCCAGCCCCGGCGCGGCAGCCCGCAGCCCTCCCGCTCCCGGAAGGGGCGGCGCAGCGGCTCCCGGCTCCCGGCGGCGGCGGGCCGTTGCCGTGACGGCGGGGCGGACATGGCGGACGAGGCGCTGTTCCTGCTGCTGCACAACGAGATGGTGGCGGGGCTGTACCGAGCCGCCGAGCAGGGCGAAGGGGTGAGTGGGGCCGGTGCCGCCCCCGAGGCCGTCCGGCGGCGGCCGGGCCCGAGGCTGAGGCGGCGGCTGCCCTTGTGTCTTGCAGGAGAACGGCCGCTGCACCACCAAGCTGGAGAGCATGGGCTTCCGCGTCGGGCAGGGGCTGATCGAGAGGTGGGTGTGAAGGGTAGTTTTGTAATTGGCTACCGCACGGTGTCCCCTTCCTGTGGGCCTCTCGGCCCTTGGATCTTCCGTCTGCCGGTGCCTCGCAGCGCAGCTCGGGCTGTGTGGAGAATCCCGAGCTCCCGACGTCGCGTTTTCCTTGAACCGTTAAAGTTGGCAAGGACCGCTAAGAGCATCCGGTCCAACCATCGGCCCACCAACCGTGCCGCTCAGTGCCACAGCCACGCGGTTCTTGAACGCCTCCAGGGATGCTGATTCCCCCACCTCCCTGGGCAGCCCGTTCCAATGCACTACCACTGCGTAGATTAGTTGTTTTTCCTAATATCCAGCCTGAACCTCCCCTGGCATAACTTAAGGCAGTCACCCCTCATCCTGAATCGCTGTTACCCGAGACACGAGTTGCTCAAAGTGACTCAAAGACCATCAGGGAGAATACGGGGGGAGAACTGTGAAGAAGGAAGGCACTTTTCAGAAGACAAGTTTTGTGTGTTTGTTCCTACGCATTAATGTTGGCTGATATTTTCAATATTTGAAGGAGCCCTTCTGAACAGTACTATATGTGAGAGCTTTATGTTAAGATATCTTTATGTACTTTAGCTGTCTTTGATGATCATATAGTTCAAACTCATTTATTCTTACCATAGTGCTGCAAATATTAAGATAAAACTATGTTACTCAAGTTCTAATACATGGTGAAAGCTGAGTGTTGCTAGCATGATAGCTGGAACATTAATCTCTGTAACGTTCTCAAAAGTAATGTTGTATAGTACCACTTTTTTTTTGGTATTATTTTGTATTTTTCTGCTTAATCAGTCAAGTTGTTGCACATACGTTTGTTATTGACATATTTCTCACTTGTCTTTTAGGTTTACAAAAGATACAGCCAGGTTCAAGGATGAATTAGATATTATGAAGTTCATTTGCAAAGATTTTTGGACAACTGTATTCAAAAAACAAATAGACAACCTAAGGACTAATCATCAGGTACTAATGCTCTAGAATATGATTTCAGTTACAAAATCAGTAACGCTATCTTGTCTTATAGGTGAATTTTTTTGTTGGTCTTGGTCTAAGATTAATTACCTGGGAAGAAACCCAGAATCACAGAATCACAGAATTATAGGAGTTGGAATGTTCTTACTTTTTTTTTTTTTTTTTTTTTTTGTAGATTTTGAGAATACAATTTAGTAATTTAATTGCTTATGATGTATTTCTTGCCACCCTGTTTGAAAAGACTAAATGTTTTCAATTTTACATGCAGTGTTGTGGAATTACAAACTGACAGGACAGTAATGCTCACAGTTTATTAAGACTCACACAGGAATGTTTTCATGAATCCCACAATATATTTTAGCAGAAAACTAGCGTGAGAAATCACATTGCTGCCTTAAAACTCATTTAAATGGAACGGCTGTCTTGAAGTCATTTTTTAATTTGGAAAAAGATTTACAGTTTTCAGCAGTCGAGACACTTAGTTGCACCCTACAGAACATAATTCTATACATAACAGCTGAAAAACTTCCCAAAGGTTGCTTGTTGATGACGTTGCTTGGTAGAATTCGGATTACATTTCATTAGAAACTCAATTAAAAACTTTTTTCTTTTTTTAAACAGGGTATTTATGTTCTTCAAGACAACAAATTTCGACTCTTGACACAAATGTCCGCAGGAAAGCAGTATTTAGAACATGCACCAAAGGTATCCTTCTTGGGATCTATGAGTTTAATTTGAATCATCTTGGTCTATTCATAATAACTTGAAATTTTGTAGTTCAATGGACACAAACCCACCCACCAAAAGGGAAGCTAAAATTTAATCTCCAAAAACTGCTTTTTAGAAATGCACCTTGTTTGAGAGCAGTTTATTTGGTCTGTGGTTCAAGAAACAGTCATAGTGATTTTGAAACGTTGTTATGCTTCAGTTACTTGATGGTGGGAGCTGTACTGACTGCAAGTGGAAAATCATTGAGCTGATGTATTTTGTGTGCAGTTCAGGACGAAATTTCTGCCACTGTCACAGTACACTGATGAACAATAACAAAACCTCCTCGTTTTATATTGTCAAAGTGATAAGTCTTCAGTTCTTCAGTATTTTGCAACAGGCTTCATCCTTGAAACTTCTTTAAACTGTGACTTTATGTTTAGTATTTAGCATTTACCTGTGGACTAATCAGAGGGGGCCTATCGAATTTGGGAATAAAGAGTATTGTAACAGCTGAAGTTTCATCAATGCCTGCATGTAAGTACTTCTCAAGAGTACTCCTCTATTAGCTCATTTGCTAACTTTAGTTACCAGATTCACTCTGCTTTACTGTTAAAAAATACTGACAGTGAACCTCCGTGACATTAAAGTGGAAAGCTACATTACAAACTTATCTTTCCATTTGGAGGCATCAGATGCAAAAGGGCATACATCCAGAACTCCACTGCAGTAATTGAAGATAAAAACAACTATTTCTGTGCTCTCTATTTATAGAAGTCAGTAAAAAAGGTAGTAAGTGAAGTCCCTTGTAACTACATAAGCTGATTAAGATGGAGCTAAAGATTTCCAGGAAGCTTTGAACAAGAAAACTGCTGTAATGTGGGGCATGGATCAACTAAAAAAAAAAGTGAATGTGTTCAGCTGGAGTTAGATTTAAATGCTAAATTTAAATCATGGCTAGATATCTCACAATTAAACCATAAGATTGAAACATTTCTTAGAAATGTCTTAACAAAAAATGTCTTAAAAAGAAAGTAACTACTTGGAGTAATCTAAAGTTCGTGCTTTGATCTGACTTTGCATTCTCTTTGCAGGTAAATTCCAGGTGATGATACAGAAAATGTAGAGCATGATCAAATCTGGGTATCTACCTTAAAAATCCTGTCTGTGGTTTTGGTATTTTGGTTCGGCTTTGTATGTAGCGTGTAAATTATAGCACTGTGCTGCACAATTCCAAAGTATATAATAAATATTTGTTAAAAATAATACTGTTCTTGTATCTTGGTATGAAATTAATTCTGTACCAAGGTATTAATGTCCGTCATGGTAAAAACTGTCCTCTCAAAAGTTTCCAACAAAAGATTTATAGTACTAAATCAAACAATAGGCAGATTTTAAGAACAGAGTAAAGTCACAATGAAGACTCAGTTGGTGTAAGAAACAAATGTGTTTTGTGTCACCTAAGAAACGAGGCAGCAACTTTCTATTATTCTGAGGAAACAATTATTGCATAAATCAACAGTTTTAGTTAACAGCATTCAGTGGAATATAGAAATTATATGAACAGATAAAGATAACTTATTTCTACAAAAGTAAAGGTATATCCTATGCCTCTAAAATTTACGGCTGTTTTTTTTTTTTTGCATCAGAAGAACTGTACAGCTAAGGACATCTACAACCAGCAAAGGCAATTTGCTTTATTTTATTGTGCCTAAACTCAGTATTAATGTACTTTTTTTTTTTTTAATTGCTAGCTACAACTCACTTCTGTAATGAGTATGTGCAGGAAGATGATTAGGCCAGCCAGAAGATATAAAGACATCACCAAGACCCTAGAGGAGATTGGGGGTTGCTGGATACTACTTGTTACAACATTTGTGTAACAATATGTATCTTGCTATGGGTAAGCATGAAAACATCTTGTTTAAACTTGTAACAAATTTTATTGTAAGACTTTTCTGTTGGCTGGGTCAAACCTTACATTTTCAGAAATGTGAGAATTGCGACTCACTTTCTACTTTGAGACCAGCAAATAACAGGCTAGATATAAAAAAAAAATGCACTAAAACAACGTTTTTGTCTGTTTTAACCATCTTCTGTGTTGGAATAAATGTTTGTCTAAGTGCATGGTTGGGCAGGAACACTGGAAGTTGTTCTGTAAACTCTAAGGAAGTTCTGAAGCTTGTAATGGATAGATGCCTTTTGTAGTCTATAAATCTGTGCTGGCAAGCTATAGATTATAGACATGATAACCAGGGGCTTATTATATGAGCTCAAGATGTGAACAAATTCAAATTTTTTCAGGTACTGTGAATGCTAGCTCAGATTAGTTGTAACTGGATAATTTGATAGTTCTAAGAAAGATCTAAAGCACTAGCAGAATGCCATGGCACCATTTAGAGACCTAGAGAAGATAAAAGTAACCATGGTGATTGGTGCTCTGTAGGGATCAGCTGTGTGACTGAAAACACTGAGCTCTTATACTGATAGTTTACAGGAAGGTTGTGGTGGTTGTCCACATGTACAATTCAGGCTTCTCTGAAATTGTAAGGTTAGAGAATTAGCTGACTGCTATTCTTCCTGAGTGTGTTTTGTGGGTGCTTCAGTTGCCAACTCATGCTGTTTTTAAGTGCTGTTATTAAAGGGACTGACTTGCACTGTGCCTAACAGATGGACGCTTCAGTGACACCCACACAACTTGGTAGGCCATTTTGTAATTTGCTTCTCTAAAATTAAAACTGTAGTAGTTTCTTTCATTTTCACTTGACAGTTAAAATTACTGTTCCACATAAGAAAGTGCTAATAATTCTAAGTTACACTATGGCCTTAACCATTAACTCGTGCTTAATGATATGTCTTTTTTAAATAGTGAGGGATTGATATCTGCTTCCTGTACAGTGTGAAATTCAATACTGTCTATCAGTCTGCTGTTACCAGCAGAAATCAGAGTTCCTTTAAACTGGATTTTCAATTGTTGAAGATAATTAAAACCCAATAGAATCATGTATGTACAAAGCAGACACCAATATTCTTGGCAAAGCACTCTCTTTCAATATGTTCAATATGTTAAATCAAATAGGTGAGCTAACGTATTTGTCAAGATATTATACAGAAAATAAATTTGTCCATTTTGTTTAATAAATGCTTCTGTTAAAGAATACTGAATAGAGCTGTGCTTTTTCCCCTGGTTTCTGCTACTGTTTACTATAAAGTAGCAAATATTATTACTCAGGAAATCTATATACTACCTCCTTTTATGTTTAGGTAACATCATTGTTTCAGTAATTCACTGGCTATAGTTGTACTGTTTAGCAGTATTTAAGCTCAGGAACTATTTCCTGAAAAAACACATTGGATCCCAGTTGTGTAGGCTTCTAAAGTAAAGCAGTTGTTAAGTACTGTGAAGAATGAGAAAAGCCACAGTGTTTAAGAACACTTTAAAGAACATTTTAGTTTTATTAAAAAAAGACCTCAAGGGTTGTGTATTAGATAAAGAACAGTCATCTGTGACACCTCTTTAAACTCGGAAGTCTTTACCTAATGGCAGCATCCACAGGATTACTCAGATGGTAAAAATTTATCATGAAGAATCTACTATATTAAGACAGTTGCTTGAGAGATAATGACAGATAATTCATGGACCATTTTATGATGAGGATACTAGAGAGTAGTACCTTCATGCTAAAGATCAGTTTAAGTTATTCATAGCTGTTCCAAATGTATTATTATGTCGAGGGTGCTCTGAAGAAGTTGTATTGTACTTCACAAAAAGATACTGCACGCTTCAGACCTGTACACTATTTGTACTATGGCAACAGAAAATGGTTTTCTCAGAAAAGTCTAGGAGGGTTCATCAGCTAAATCACGTTGATCAAAGTACCTAGGGGAGAGAAGTAGAATACAGTAAGAAAACTCTAATGCAACACACTCCTTACTTTGCTCTGAGATGTTAGACCATTTGCTTTCCAAGTTTAATTTAGTATTTCTATCATATTTATAGCCTCATGGTTGAGAGGGCTCACCAAAGAAAACCAGTGTGTTTCCTTTGTTTTAGCCTTAGGCTTGTCTTAAGTCCTGGTGACTAAGTATGTCTGCTACATACATCCAGACTACTTGGATTGACTTTCACTTTCAAGGAATCTATGTTAGCACAAGGATAATCACACTTATTCTGGACATACTCTGCTATTTTATATCTGTAGTTTGCATTACCTGCTAACTAAGCAGATTAACAGGTTCAGAGCTGAAACTTGCTCTTCATTCTTGTTCTCCTGAAAGAGAAACAAATATCAGAACAGTTCTTCTGTTAACCATATCCACTAAAAAAAAGTCACCTGCCATGTTATATGTTGTAGTGTTCCTCTCGTTCTCCAGCAGACTTCAAATGTGAAAAATAACTTATCAAGAATTTAAGAGCTGAAAAATCATTCTCTTGATAATTTATGAAGTTGAAATAGTCCTTTGCACAACATTCAATTAAATCTTACCTCTAGTACTCTCACTTCTGAGCACCGCCTTGCCAGCTGTCGAATAAGGGAGTGAGCTTCAGGTAGCAAAGGTTTTTCAAGGCATGCCAACAGTGCATAAAACCATCTACCCTGTGTGGATTGAAATATTGAGTTTTTAATTATGGGCACTTCTTTCAAGTTTTACATAAGAAAAACATGTTATATGTAATAGGCCTTGAGCACAGGTCTCAAAGCACAATTTCATTTAAGTGCCATTGCCAGAATGGAAAAGTTTGAAGGGCCAGATTAGAGACTGCATAGTAGAATTTTATTACCTGTAAATAAGCTTCTTGTGAGAGTGCTCCTGGATTTCCTGCTTTTTTTTTTTTTTTTTGAACAGTTTCTTCTATTAATCTAAGGGAAGCACTATTTGAGCAATATCTAAGGAATATTACATAGCTATTATTTTTTAACTTTATAAACCATGGAAAAACATTCTAAAAAATGAATATATTAAGTCAGATCTTTGTGGAAGTAATGCTGTTACATCACCCTTAGGATCTACCCCACTGCAAAAACATGTCCTTTGCTTTTTACTTACTGAACATTGTAATATTATAAACATCACTTTTGCTACCAGTCTAACTTATTAAATTAATTCCAGTGCCTAGTGTCTTTCACGATGGGATTTAACTAAGCAGTGTGCACATCCTCTGCAGCATACTGGTCAATAAGAAAGGGTCAGAACAGAAAAGGCCTTTAAACAACTCAAAAATCAAGAAGCTGTATTTAGTATTGTGGAAGTAAGTTTTCATTACTCATTTATTTTGTGGTACATAGCTAGTTGTGGCCAAACTTCCTGCTAATGTATTCCATCGGTCTCAATTTTATATCAGATTGGATCTGTTTCCACATTAACATAGATAACATAGTCAGTGCTGCTCATGAAAAGATTACATGTATCTCTTTTAGCAGAATACTATGCATCTCCAAACTAAAACAGATATGTTGGCAAATACAGCCTGCAGCTCACTGACTTCAAAGCTTCTGTACTCTGGCCCTCTTCTCTCCCCAGCACTCTTCTGACCTTGCAGATTAAGTTATTGTGGAGAGCAAATGAAATGGAGGAGTTTTAGCAGTACCTGAAAGATCTCTATCTGTTGTTCTGTAACTACCCCTTCAAAAAGTTCTGTGTATGTTCATTCTAGCATCTAGTCAGGTGAGTTTTGAGAACAACTGAATACAGTACTTGTATCTAGAGAACTAGTTGGAAACTAAAATAATTTTACAGAAAACAGGGTATAATGTACCCCTTGTTTGATATGCTAATGTGCAAGTAGTTAGAAAAAAATTACCAGTTCTGGAGTAAATTTTTTCTCTCCAAACCAGCTTATCAGGTATTCTAAGACACTGGTTACCGTGGCCTTCAAAAGAGAAACATAAAGACACAGTGCGATAATGGCAAAGTTTTGTTTTGCTGTCCTTCTACCCAAAGGATTACATTATGTAAAAAGCAAATGTGATTTTTGTCTTTAAATATAGACATAATACGTTTCCACTCAACTGTAATTCTATATGGCATTTAGTTCAGGTTGAGATTATATGTAAGGGTAAAGAACATGTTCAAGCGTCACGGGAAAAAAGCTTTTTAAAAAACTAAGAGCTTTATATAAAGCAACGTTCTGTGTTAACAACATGTTACAGATAGATAACAAAAAAGACATCACACTGACTATTTCTAGATAAGAATGACCAGTGAGAAATGTAGTAAACATTGTTCTTCTAGTCTTGCAATGCATTTAGGAGTTAACAATCAAGTCAATCAAGTTGAAGGACTGCACTTAAAAGACGAAAGGTGATAACTTACTGTAAGCCTCTAAAAGAGGCACTCAAACATTAGAATGTTCTATAAAGAAATTATGAAGAGAAAATATGCTTACATTTAGTTACCGTAAACATTTGCTGGTATAACTGTTTGTAGTTAAAGGTGAGATAATATTTTTTCCTTGTAAGTGTACATTGAATAACAGTTGGAATAAACAATCACCTCAGCACAGAAAAATAAGTAAGACTTATGCAACTCATGGAACATAGGAAGTACTAACTTTTGCAGTATCACTATGCTGTCCTAAGAGGTAGGCTTAAGATGTAGGCTTACCTGATTCATTCTGCTTACAATACTTAGCAAAGGAGGAAAGCCAACCTGAAAAAAGTCAAGTTGGGAAATACAGAAACATCATAAACACCTTTTTTTCTAAGTTAGAACTTAGTAACATTTGATCAGAGCATTTGTAATATGATCAGAAATTTGTAATTATTTTGAATTCTGTTTTAAGCTTTGACATTTATTAAAAAAACAAACCAACAAAACAATCTTCAAGTAACTTCAAGATAAGCTCTAACCAAATTTGGTATCAAATACCATTGCTTTTGCTGTTACTTGTAAAACAAGGGTGTGCTTTTTTTTTTTTTTTTTTTAAAGCTTCAGTGAAGGGCATTTTTCTAGAGTAGCATGTACAAGGCCAGGAAGCACCTCCACAAAACACTAAACCAGACTATGGATAAAACTTTCGATTCTGTTCTAGCAGTGAATTAGTGTGTTCTAGCTGGGAGCAGATGAGGGAACTTCCCCAATTTTTTGACTGAACTAACAGACTTGCTCTCTGCTTCACTCAGTTTCAACTTAAAAGGGAAGAGAAATGGGTCTTACTGGGCTCACCAGACAGATTGCTTTATATTTAGCACAATGTGGTAATAAAGAGTAGCATTGTTTCTGGCAGTTATTTGTGAAAATAACAGTTGAAAATTAGTCCTCTTATACTCACCTTTATGTAATCAATTCCTAGATTTTCATTATCAGATTCTGCATCTATTTCTGCGTATACTCTTTCACCCAGGCAGAACTTCTTCCAACCTTCTTCATCCTCTAATTTGGGCTGAAGTAAATAAAAATAAATGAAAACAGTGAAATACAGCTATCTTGAAGACAACAAAGAACAGACATGATAATACTTACCAGTTGTTGAATTACATTGTAAAGCAAGATTAATCACAAATTTATTGATTAGGAAAAACACATAAATGTTATGAATTCTACTCACCATGTTAACATTGCTGTCCAAATCCTGTGACCGCCAGTGATTTCTGTGCTTGTTCAGGCTCTGAATAATTAAATCAGTTTTAACTTTACAGTTACCAGATCCTAGCCATAATCTTATCTTCATTAAAAAAGGAACTTCTGAAATCAGTAAAGACATTCCTGAGTACATATTCCTCTAGCCTCTTAGTATAAATATAACTGTTACTTATACTGGGTTTTCGGAAATAATATTAAAGCCAAAGGAATTTTAAAGTCTACCGCATAAAGCTTTAAGTAGTAAGTTTTACTAGACTTAAAATCCTTTTTTATGCTTGCTGTAACAAGCAAAAACAATTGGGCTAGGCAAAAAAGCAAACATAAGACCAATACCAGGTTTCCAACAGCGCTCTGTATCTCTATACAGTGCCTACAGAATTGTAAAAGACAGCAGGCTTACTTTCCTAGAACATTTCTTCTGACAGGGATGCCATGTAAGACAAATTGGTCTCCATGACAATTTCCTATTGGAAGTATAAGCTTTTGTAATGGAAGTATTTTTCCCTCATTCAATTTTTACTCTAAAAGTAAAGTTAAGCACTTAAAAAAATGCTGAAATTAACACTAGCTGATACATAATGTACTAACAAGTGACTTTTGATGCTCTTTTTCCTTCACTATCTCCACCTTCGCTGCTTTATCTTCCTCAAAATTAGGGTAAATGAGCTCATACTAAGCTCAATGCCACAGCAGCTTCAGTGCAATTGATTATACTTCAGTGTATTCAGGTATTTTTACAAAGCAATATCAATACATTATAAACATGCCTTCAGCAGTACTGGAGCTGTAAAATATCTTCATATACACCCTGTTTGAATAGTGCACAGAGAGACACTGTTCAGCTCTGCATTTCTTTTCTGTAAAAGCAAGGTACAAATGTGGTAGGAAAGTCTATGCTAACACTACATCCGCACAAATCCATTTTAGCAATCAGTATTTCTGACCATAATGGCTCCCACTAATGCCCATAGGACCCTAAATGGACTGTGTTTTACATATAGAAATCTCATGGTGGGTAGGAATCCACTTGTTCTATAGCTCTACAGAACAATGTAGAACACTGTTGGTTTTAGTGTCACTGCGTAACATCACAGCAATTTTTGTCCTTCCTCAAGTACTCTGTATCATTTGGTGTAAATATTGCCAGATATTTTTACTTTATTTTTATTTAACATGACTCTCAGGAAGGAGTTTCATCAGAAGTTTAAAAGCCTCACAGTATATTCCCATTTTCTTTTTCTTTCTTTTTTTTTTTTTAAACTAGCAACATCTGATCAAAATGTTATGACTTAATGGTAGGAAAGATATAAGTTTGTCCCCCCTAAAGCACAGATGTACAAGTTAAAACACTGCACCACTCCCCATCACACGCAGAATTTTCTACCTGACGAACAGATGAGAAATTGGCCACTTGCTGCTGCTGCCACTTGAGTGTTGGAGAGTATCCTTCCGGAGCAGGCTGGCATCCAGAAATCTAAGGAAACACTGGTAATAATTACAATGTATAAAAAGCTTTATAAAAATAATCCTTAAAGAACAAGAGAATTAGTAAATAATTACCAGCAGATAAAAATAGAAGTACTCAATTTAAAAAAGGTAATTTCCTGACAACTGATTTAACAGTTGGTCTAGACAAAATTTCTCCTGCTTGATGTTGTATGTATGCAAAGCAGGAAAATTAAATATGCAGAATGTGCTGTTGAAGAACCTTTTAAGGTCATCTTTTTAGCACCTGTTCTGCCTTAACTTTCCTGTTAATAAAGGAGAGTGCTCTATCCTTATCTTGGACAGGTGCTATTAATAGTAAGAGCTCTACTTGAACAGACAGTAAGTTGGGAAAGACAGTAAGTAAAAAAAAAGTATCTTTTAGGAAATTAACTGACAATGAAGTAGATATAACCTCTTCAGAGATTAGCATGAAAGAATTACAGTACAGAAAAATCTTTCTACAAGTGTTTAAGAATGTCATTCTGAAGAAATGAGACAAATGAATAGAACAGTCACAATAGTACATGGTCATGTCAATACTAGAAGCTTTAGCATAGCAATCTAATAGGCAGGTTATACAGTTCATTGAAGGAAGACAAAATTGGGCACTTAAAATATTTGGAAGTAGGTAAAAAAAAAAGCAATGTGACAACAGAAAAATCTACTTGTAAGGGGAAATCCCAATAAGAGTTTCCATCAAAAAGTGAAGAAATGGTGCTAAGTATTTCATCTTACGTTAGCTGTCCTTACTGCTCTTACTGCCCTACACAGGATATATTTTTGAATCTAGATACAGATATTGCTTTCTTCTAAAGCTTACGCAGGTTTTATGACAGACTTGTAAAATTTAACTCAGCATTTGATTCCTTCAGGCAGAAAAAGTCTGCTGTGTGTCAGTGCTGATTTAAACTGATCAGTTACAAAGACTGCTTATCGCCCAGAAATTCAACGGGCATTTCTTCGAACCCTGAAGTTTCATTTATTTCATTTAGTGATTTAAGATCCAGCAAACTGCTGTTTTAGTTATGCTCACGACTCCCCCCCTCTTTCCTGCTGCTTGTTTCTTAAAGCAAAAGGCATAAAGCAGCCCAAACTTACTGCGACGTTTACCGTCTGCTTCTTTCTTAGCTTCCTGGGGTCTATTTGTGCCACGACCACATCTGGGCATCGCGCTGCTTCAATCCTACAAAACAGAATCAAACTGCTGTATTGCAGCGGGCGGTTATAGGCTGAATACGGCACCCGTGGAAATCTTCACTTATGCAAAAAACAACCGACTCTGCAGGCAATTCTTACAGAAGGTCTGACTTCAGAATTACCAAGTATTCCCTCTTCATACACAAGTGCACTGGCGCCCTTGAAGCTTGCACGCTCCTAAGCTGCCTTGAAGCGAGGCTGCGCATCCCACAGCGGCATCCTGGGACGCTGCTGCCGCACGGAGCCCCAAACCCGCCCGCCGTCTTCCCCGAACAGAGCTCCAGCACCGGGCGCGGGGCCCGCCGGGGAATAACGGCGCCCTCGGGCACACGCAGCGAGAAACGGGGCGGCCCGACTGGCCCGCCGCCAACCCCCGCCCCGCCACTCACTGGACGCGCCTCAGGTACTCCTGCGGCGTCCGGGGCGGCACGGTGGGGTCGAAGTCGTCGGGCAGGTCGCAGTCCCCCACGGGCAGCAGCCGCGGCATCAGCTCCTCCACGGCCGACTCCATCGCCCCGCCGGCCGCAGCCGCCAGCCCGGCTGCTCTCGCGAGAGACGCGGCCTCGCGCAGGCGGAGCGCCGCCGCCGTGCCCAGGCGTTACGGCCTTGCGGGCGCTGTGAGCTGTTCGCCGGGCGCTGGCGGTGGCCGCGTTGCCGAAGCGATAACCCCGTTCCTGAGCTGGACGGGACCCCCGATAACCAGATTTAGGCCCTACGTCATTCTTAGCTTTTGCAAGAGGTTCTTCACGACTCACTCATTGATAACGCTGCCTATTCCTCCCGAGGACGGGCAGTAATAATGCTTTTCCCTTCCTTGACACGCCTAGAGATCTGTGGTGAAAATTAATTGCTTAAACTGCTGTAAATCCAGGTGTAGACCTGGAAGCGTTTGGCTGAGATTTCATTCTGTTTCTGTTTGGATTTATCTAAATGGTAATGGACTGCATCCCAAATCAAAATCCAAGCAGCAGTAGCACTGAGGTGGGTTACTTCTCAGATAAAAAGCAGAGGGACGATGTTGCAATTGTTGAAATCATGTAAATTGTCTCATAACCAAACTCCTGTATATTAATGTTTCTTAGCATTCTGAACAACATGCTAAATCAGTGTGCTAAATGCAGCCCATACAGCGGAACAGCGTAACTCTAAATTGTTCTCAGTTTTGTCCTTTATTTTTCTGTAAGACTGTATTTTAGCAGCTCCAAACAAACATCAGCCCTAACTCCTCCTCTCCGCTGACTTTTGTTTGCTTTAAGGTGTTTCCAAATCCACCTACGTGTAACAGGGAGTCCGGATCTCACATCCTGGTTGAGTGCGACAGCTGCAGCCATTGCTTGAAATAAGACCTGCTAGCCCAAAGCCACAGTGATGCCTCTGGGAAGGCTGACCAACAGACAAAGCAAAAATGCTGGTGAGTAAAACCGTGAAAAGTTCTCTTCTAAAACTTTGGTAATATTCAGAAGTTATTTTTTTTTCTATTTGTCATGGAGTCAAGAACTATGAACAGAAAGAGATTCCAGAAATAAAATACATTTTCTCTCCTGGGACATGTTTTTCTGGAACTTTTGATTTATACAGCTTAAGCCAAGTAACTTTTAAAAATTATTGCAGGTAGTCTTCCAGCAAAAGCTGTCACAAATTTTACCAGTGATATCAATGCAACAGCTGGTCAGTGTAATTCAGTGGAAGAAGAGGAAAAAGAATCTGGAACAGAGTATCAGACCCGTTTCTCAGCTGCGTAGCCATTGCAGAAGAGTACTTTTCCAAAGAAAAGGTAAGCTGCTACCTGTGGGCATGCACTGCTGCCTAAGAAAGTCTGAGACATCAACCAAAAATTCTTTATTAAGAAAAATAGTATTACTATACAACCTAATAATGGAAGATAATGGCACATTTTCTCTTAGTATGTAAATACGGTGTTATCACCTGATCTTCTCTGCAGTATTAGTGTTATTGCCTCTCTTTGCTTCTCTTGGTTTGCACCCTTGTAATGTCTGCAAGACTTTTCTTGAAGTTTAGAACACTGGATTGTCATTGCATGGTGAAATTTAACTGTGCTAACAACTCATTAGAAGAGTATTTGAGTACTTCTGAAGATACAACACTGTATTACTTTCTGTGCATCTGTTTGGAGTTCATCAAAAGGTTTTCATTTCATTTTTTTACAGAGGAGGTTCCATGTCCTTGGCATTCTGCAGCTGAATGCTCCCACAGCTGACAGTGGGATTCAAGGGCAGTGAAGATTCAAATCCTCCCTTTAAGATGTGCTTTTGTTTACCTGCTTATGTTGGTAGACTAAGGAAAGCTGGCAAACAACACTGGAGATAGTAACGGTATAGAACCCAGAAAAACAACCAAAAAAAAAAGACAAAACCTGAATTGTACAATCAGGGCTACATAAAAATTTCTCTGAAGATATTAAATAAATATGCATTATACATACGTTAAAGTATTTCTAAATGTGGGATAATATAAAATATTGTCTCAAGCTGAAGGCCGCCACAAACATGATATCAATCTATTTTTTTTTTCCCCAGGAAGCCTGAGAAAACACGTACACACGAGGAGGCGAAGCTCCCTCTAGTGGCCGCAGCCGTCATTTCCCAAACACGGCCGGCAGGAAGATCGGGCTTTTTAGAAGAAATCTCAAAGTCGAAAGGCAAAAAGCGGACAAGCAAGCACGAGCCCCTGCGGACGGTAAGGCAGAGGGCGGCCGTACGGGCTGTCTCACGCCGGGTACACCGCCGCCCGCTGCCAAGGGCAGAGTCAGCCCGGACACAGCCAAGTTCGCCCGCAGCGGGGAAAGGCGTGGAGCGGCGGCGCTCAGCCCGCCCCCAGCCCCGGCCCGCCGCTCTCTGCCCCTTGACGTGGCGCAGACTCTCCCATCGGCCATGTTGGCTGCGTCGGCAGCGCTGGGGCGGCTGCGTGCGCCAGGGGGAGAGCGAGCGCGAGGCAGGCGGCGGCCGGGACGCGGGGTGAGCGGAGTGCGGGGAGCGGCGGTGGGAGCGCGGGGCACGGCGGGGAGGAGCGCCCTTGGCCGGCGCCGAGCGCTCCCGTGTGCGGCCGAGGGCGTTCAGCCCTGCCGGTGCGCCGGGGGAGCGCGGGCGGGGGCCGCCCGCCTCTCTTCAGCCGATCTCCGTGGAGGAGAGCCGGGGGGCCGCGGGGCCGAGAGCGACTCGTCATGTCAGCTCTCCGCACGGCCTGCAGCTCGCCGGGGAGCGCCCACCCCGTGCGCGGGGCCCTGCCGGCGGCCGCCGAGAGCCCCTCGGCTGGGGCCGCACGGCGTTGGCGCCGCCACCGCTCCGCTGTAAGCTGCGGCTCGGCCCCGGCGGCGGCTCCGTTCTGCTGGCGTGGGGCTGCGCGGTGCGAGCAGCGCGCCGAGCCGGCGGGGTGGGCAGCGGGACCCTGCGGTGCGACTGGAGCTGTGCGAGCGCTGCGTTAGGGAGGCCTGGTGCGTGTGGATTTGTTTGCTTACTCGTTTGTTTATTCTTACACGTAGGTGCGTTCTTGTATGCCCAGATCGCTTCTTTTAAGAAGTCTTTGACAAAACTGGGAAGGCAGGTTTGAAGGATGGCCATGTATGCATAAATGAGTGGAACTTAGATTCTTACGTTATCGGTTTGACAGCTTGCGGTTGCCTCCTCACACAGACCTCCTGGAACTGTAGCAGATTTGTACCTGATTGGCTACAGACCCATTTGTGTGTGTGTAAGTGGGCTTGCAACATTTAGTGGATATTATTTTATTGGCTTTCTGTACTGGGACGCATTTACGAGTGCTGTGTAAGGGTGCTGAGTGGAACCAGGAGCTCTGCAAATGGTCTGTTTTGGAGGAACTGCATCATTACTGTTTGCAGTTAGTTCTACAACAGCTACTGAAAACGACGTAGCTTCAAAGTGATGTATTTCAAAGCTGTTCATTTGGGTAGAGAATAGCTTTCTGCGTTGTGATTTGTGTGCTGGTTAGAAAGTCCTAACAGTACTCTTGCATCCAATCAGAATAATTGCATTAATACTGTTGTTTATCTCAGAACGACACCTTTACAGCCAGCTTGTGACTCTTTATGCAATTCAGGTGTGGTTTATTTGAATGTGATACAGCATGAAATTGCCACTGTGCAGAGATGGAAGGAATGCTCAGCTTCAGAAGTGGGAGGAAGCAAGCCTGAAAGGACTGTTAGCCTCTTCTGAGTGTTTGTCCTGCAGCACAACGCAGTGACATCCCCAGTTTGGAGCTGTTACTGTTCAGCTGTTCTGAAATCACTTCTCTGTGGTTTGCTGAGGATGGTAGTATGTATTTTGTGGCTCTCAGGCAGATGATGGCTCTGTTTTTAGTTCATAGCCTGTAGATCAGGAGGATTTGTTCTTCTTGTCTAATGTTACACAGGTCCACACCTATCCCAGAGAATCTGTGTGGATAGCTATGAAGATGTTACCAAAACTGACTGACTGACTCACTCACTGACTTGTGGGTGAGATTCACGTCTGCTTTAAGTTGAAATGTATAAGCATTCTTTACCTTTGAGGGGAAATTTGAATGATGGGATCATAGAATATCCTGAATTGGAAGGGAACCCACAAGGTCCACTGAATCCAACCCCTACTCAAAATCTAAACCCAGAGTGTGAGAGCAGTGTCCAAATGTCCCTTGAGCTCTGTCAGCTTGGGGCTGCAACTGCTGCCCTGGGGAAGAACCTTTTTCTAACACCCACCTGACCCCTCCCCATTGCAGCTCCTTCTCATTCCATCTATTATTAATAACCACCTTGATTTTTAGCAGGTTCTGTCTTCTGAATAGGAATTATCTACTGGAAAGTAACAGCATTTAAATCACTAAACCCCATAAATCTTTGCTGTATATGCATGTACTTTATAGGTCACTGCACACTGATGTTTGTACGTTGCCCTCTGTGGAGCAATAAGTGATAAGTTAAAATAATATCCATGTGAAACCATTTCAAATGTGGCTGGGTTAACATTGAAGAAAGACTTTGAACTCCAGAGCAGAAAGTAGGAATTGGCATTGCAGTGTGTGGATGTGAAGCTCGTGGACTTCATAGCAGGTTCAAATGGAATGACTGAAGTGGCCTCTGTTGCAATTTTAAAAGGAGGGATTATTTTCAGTTTGTGCTTGTAACTGGGACTCTTTCCTCATTTTTTTAGCACTACTCCATTTCTCAGGGATAATTTTCCTTTGCGTTTTACTCAGAACAATGATGAATTAATCTTGAAGTATTAGGGGACAAACTTTTTGTGTTCTGCATCCTTTTCAGATCCTAGGCTATCCTTGCCTCCCTCAATGGAATTATTTTCTATTTCTGATTTCTCTGGCTTCTGAGTATGTCTTTCCCCTTGTATTTTTGTCATATGCCCAATGGCCTTGCAGCTTGAGTAGAAGCAGCAGTGGAAACATTCCTGTGTGCAGAATTCCATGTGGCTTCCTGTGCTGCAATTACTGTGATGCATGGATCTGCTCCTGGTGTCAGTGAAGTGCTCATGAAAATGTTGACAGTGCTATAGTGTTTGTGCTACATTATGGAGGTTAGTGATAGCATCTGAGACAAACTGCACGAGGGGATATTTTATAGTTAAGTTTGTATGCTAGTCTTTGTTTCATAGGAGCAGTTTTGAGGGTGCTTTTTGTGGTTTTCATCACTTGTGGATGGTTGATAAGTTCCTAATTATGTTAACTGTGAAATGTAGGATTTCTTTATGGATTATGTCAATCTGCTTGGTTAAAGGCCGTTTTTAGAATCAAACTATTAAGTTAAACTACAATCTAGAAAACTTTATAAGTTTTTAACTGTTACATAAACCAAAGATTTGTGTTTTAAAACAATTGTATTTCCACGTTCTAGTAACGATTATCTTTTTGTTTTAGTGATACCCAGAGGAGTTGATCATGACAACCTTCTTGGAATTTATCCAGCAGAATGAGGACAGAGATGGAGTTAGATTCAGCTGGAATGTTTGGCCTTCAAGTCGTCTTGAGGCTACAAGGATGGTAGTCCCAGTGGCTGCCCTCTTCACACCACTGAAAGAACGGCCAGACTTGCCTCCTATTCAGTATGAACCAGTTCTGTGCAGTAGGACCACATGTCGAGCTGTTCTGAATCCCTTATGGTAAATCTAATATATTCATTTTTATTATATCCATGTTTTTTCTTACAAACCATTATTTAGAATAGTGCTGGTTAAAGGGTGCAAAAGATGCAGTGTGTTGAGATATTCCTCACGTGAGTATACAGCTCAAACTTTTAGATAAGAAAATCTGTGTGTAAAAATCTGTGCTTTTAAGGTGCCATAGGCATGATTAAAAGATGACTTTCATTCAGCTAGTTTTTTTCAGTGTACTTCAGGCATGTTATTTTTCTTGGAATTGCACATCTTGTGTGTTAGTATTTCACCTCTAGAAAATTAACTCAAGGTGAAAAGTTATGCTACTTATTTGTAACTTTTGGGCCCTGAGATTGTTTAATTTCCAAGTAAAATTAACTGTTATGAACTTTAATGCATTTGTAGATTGAAACAGGTTATATGGTTTAATTTGGAAAAACAAGCTGAAAAAAGATGTTACAGATAAATAAATACTCTAGTGGTGGGCATGAGAGAGGGTAAAATCATAACTAAGGTAAAGAATGATAATGGCACAGTCACAGATGATTGTAGAAGGTTGGAAGCAGCAGAAGCATTTTGTGCATCATTCCAAACACAAGAAGCTGAATGGTTTCCAAGTAGAATTTGATAAGCATGTGAAAGGTACTGGATAACAGTG